AGTCATTGTCAGTATGACAGCCAGGTTGCAAGAACGTTTTTCATAGAAGTGACCCATTGAATTTATTGGGTGATTAAACTGTTGCACTGATACAGATGCCTGCAAAATTAGTTGTGTCCATGAGTTTAAATTCATTTCTGAGCAGTTAGGATGAATGAAGCAGGTCCTTTTGCTTTGGAATTAAGAGTGAAGCTCCACTTGCTTTAGGATGGTCAAGACAGAGCTCTCTGCCTTTAAAGTTGGTAGCTGACTCATTTTCCAGACTAGCTGGTATTGTACCAACCCTCTTGTATGGTCATTCATAAATACCTTATGGGCTCACTTTTCAGGGAAAACCTGTTTGTTTTAGTAACACCTTGTTAGCAGAACTTTTATATTAACCTATGCTCAAAATCAGGATGTCTTCCAAGAGACCACTGCAGTTATGGAATATCCCCCAACTGTATTTTGTTGTCAAAGACAGAGAATATTTTCCCAGGCAGGGCAGACTCTGCAGAGTTGGGAGTCATGTCCGTGCTTGCTTTATTCCTTTTGGAGTTTGAGAGATGGTGTCAGCAAAGAACAGGCCAAAACATAAAGCTCTGGTAATTCTTAAGTAGCTGTAGAGAAGTTTTATTGTGACCTTAATCTTAGATACATTTTTATGCCATTAACTGGGTCCATAGAGAATTTCCCATTTTTTAATGAGTATCTGATCTACTTCTCTCCAAGAAGTACAACAGAGAGATAGTACTCAGAATGGGTAGACAGTGTGGGACAAGCCACATATGAAGTAACTTTGAACACATGAGTTGCTTTGGCCATAAGTCTTAAATTGCCCTGAATCCTCTTGAAGTGGGCTTAAGTAATTGCTTCCTGACAGCATTGAGGAGTTATCTGTGTGTTCGCTACACCCTCAGTGAACCTCATGATTTTCTTAGGAGGATATATTGCTGGTGGGGTTTTCAGAATGCTGAGATTCTGGTCCTACAGGACTTCACCACATCTGCAGTCAGTCCTCAGCAAGAGCTGGGCAAAAGCTAGACAGGAATAGGTTGTGTAATACACTGTCCAGCCAAAGCTAATGGATGTGGCAGGGATTCTTTCTTTTCTTGAGGCTGTTGGATGCAAGTACAATCCTATAGTTCTTTGTAGACTAGAATTTATAAGAAACTCTGAACATAATCATGTTCCTGTTGAAAATCTGGTTTAAATCAAATAAAAATTTTCCACGCAAAAGGGTTGGGGTGTTTGTTGGTTTTTTTTTTTTTCAGTAGGAATATTCTAAGCAAAACTTTTTGTTCTGAACAGAGAAAGGAAATCTTTCATTTCATTGTCCTGGGAATATGCTTGAGGAGAAGAGTCTTCATGTTCCTGGTATTTCAGCTTAGCTAAATTTGGCCTGTGCTACTGAGGGCTTCCACACCATGTCTTTTCCGGTCCTGCATTACGTTAGGCATCTGGGAGGGGACTGATGCGTAAATGATTGCCTATTAACTCAGCACCTTTGAATCCAGTTGATCCTGGTAGTGAACGTTTGCGTGGACATGAAGGGGAACATTTGCATCTCTCCATCTGGTTCATCCAGCTTCAGCTAGTGCAAGTCTGGTGTTTGTGGCCAAATAATTGAGGCTATCCTGCCAAATAGGAAAAAAAAGGAATATACCACAGTGAATATCAGTGCTGGTTCTGTTTAATGTCTGCCCTTTGTCTCATGAAATTTAGGAGTTGTGTGAAATACAATGTTTTCTAGTAGTGAAGGCTTTCTTTGTAGGTGCAGTGATTTGGTCCCTCTGCTTCCTCTTTACCATCCTTCTGGTTACATTTTTTCCAAGTTACAAGTCATGCTATCTATCACCTTCTTGGTGTGATACTCTGGAGGAGAATTTCAGAGAGATCCCCCATAAAGCTAATATATATCTACGCTATTGGTATTCAAAAGTGGACAACCAGGAGCAAACTGTGCTCTCTACATGCGCATCCAACTCTCTGGGATACACAAATTGAGTAGCTGTGTGTAATTCTCAGAGAGCACCTCATAGGTAGGTAGCAGGGATTTGAGTTCAACACATGCAGGTTCTTTTGAAGCACATTGTGAAGTTGATCTCTTGTTATGGGCATCTCAAATCCTTTCTTGAACTGTTATCTAAGAGACCAGAATGCCTTTCTGCAGTATAATACTTTATCTTAGAGATTAATGATGTGCATAAAGCTATATTGTTCAATTAAACATGTACTTTTTTAGGTGGCAATGAGTGGTGGCAAGGGTGGAATAAGCAGGTTAAATCCCAGAGAAATGTAAAGGCTTGGACTGCATTTACAAGTATTTTGAGGTTCTTGCGACCATGGAAGTAAAAACCTGTTAGCGTTTTAGCTCAGATTTGAGGTTGATCTTCATATCAGAACCTTCCACCAACAGATCTGCCAATTCATACAGAAGAGGTGTTCTTCCCAGTTTGTGTTTTCTATATTGTATTTAAAAATTCAACCAGAAATCATCTGTCCTTCTTCTGTAAGTGCTTTGCATTTGTATATCTACACAGGTAGGATGAAAATGCTCACAGCCTCATTGCCATTTCATACTAGGGTATGTTCAGCCCAGCCATATCCAGTGAGAGAGCTCAAATATGCTGGAATTTGGTGGATTGGCAAGGGCTGGTCTGGCCCTGTTTACTCTGTCTCAGTGGGCCTGTGTATTTAATGTGCTGTTCCTCAGAGTGAGCTGTATGCAAGGATTGGCCCCTGTTTAAAACATGCTCTTTGGGAACCAGCAAGACTGCTCCAGTTTCTCTTTGGATAAGCATGGAGACAGAAGGAATTGCTTTGTGGTCTTCGAAAGTGGGGAGCTGTGACGTTTAGCTCTCATCCTTAGAGCGTTTTTCAGTGTGTGGCAATAGTTCACAGCATTGATCTAATTAGAAAAATACATGTTGAGCTGTGATGATATTTGTTGTTATTTGGTATTTACCGTATTTGGGAAAACTTGATGCATTATTGTTTCACTCTTCATGTCCAACTTTTTTGTGAAGTGATGACTGAGCATTGGAATAGATTGCCCAGAGAGGTTGTGGAGTCTCCTTCTCTGGAGATACTGAAGAGGCATCTGGACACAATCCTGAGCAATGTGTTCCAGGTGACCCTGCTTGAGCAGGGAAGTTGGACTAGATGACCTTCAGTGGTCCCTTCAATCCTCAGCCATTCTGTGATTCTGTGGCATGATCTTTATTTCAAATATCCTGGCTTTATTTTTGCTTTCAATGAGAGGTTTGAGGAATTTTTTATTTTTTTTCCCCCAATATTTTCTTCAGGTTCTAATTAGATTTCTGTGTCTGGCTTTTAAATCCTTGGAAATTGGAATTTCTTGTATCAACACTGTCATTGCTGCACTTACAGGTCATGTGCTTTTCTGATTTCAAAGCAGACACTCAACTGTAATTGTCTGATCTATTCATAACCTGTGTCAAAACTGTTTGAAGAGTAACCCTGAAATAATGCTCAGAGTATAAGGATATAAAGTATATAAGGATATAAATAGTTATCCCTATTTCTTTCCCCCACAAATCTGTAATGTTAATAAATTCTTTCATTGCAAAGAGCAAAAAGTGCACCTTTATAAACAGTAGGATTGCAGATGACATCAGCTCGCCTCTGGCTGTAAACCCCTGGTCATTCCAAAAGAACAGTGAAACATGATGCATTTGAAATACACATTTTTATCCTGGATGCGGAAAAGCATCTTCTGCTCAGGAAGTTGTGCATTGAGAACAGTGCCTTTTAACTGTCCCACCCTGTGAGAATCCAGTTTGATTTGAATATGCATATTCATCCTAATGAAAATAATACATCTGTGAAAGCACACCTTGGCTGAAAATGAGTCTCAAATAAGCTGCCTTGTAAGACATCAGAGCAAATCCATCTCTGAAAGGGGTTTCTCTTTCAAGAACTGTTATGGTGTTCTTTCCTTGAGATGCATCTGAGATGTCTTGCTCTTGATGGTACTGTAGCATGGCCAAGGCTGTAGGAAGCTAAATTTTTCAGTGGTATTCAACATTTTTAATACCTTTTGGTTTGTTGACTTTAGGCAGAATTTAATACTGATCTTTTGAGATACTTTGTAGTGTTCAGACAGAAACCAGTTTGTGTAACATTAAATCCTCAGTACGGTTATTAGTATTTTGAGGGTACTGAGAGGTTGGGAATAAAAAGGAGAACCCCATTTTATTTGTTCTGATAGACATTTTTACAGGTGCTCTTGTCTTTTGTTCATATTCTGCTCCTGAAGTCTGCCCTGTATTGTCGCAGTTAAGTTCAGCATCAGCTTATCAGGAATGAGACTTGAAACAAGAACTTAATTCTGCATTGAGTGGCTCCATGGCTAATGCTGTTTCAGTGTGTCACTGAACTGCCGTCAGCTTCTGCCGAAACGCAAACCTCAGGGGACTGGTACTTGAACACATCCTGTGCAGGAGCTCTGCTAGCTGGATGTGAACTTGCTTATACACATTCACTTGATAAAGGCATTTTGTACCTGCAGGCATTGAAGCAGTGCCATTTCACCTAATTTTCAGTGTACCCATAATCTCCTGTAAATTGTAATGCAGCTTGAACATAAGTTAATAGCATGTTTTCCTAAGGACATACCTTGTGCAAAACATTGCTGTTTAGGTAGAGCCTGGAAAAGCCAAAATCTTTCTCTGAGCTGCTTGCTAAAGAGCTGTTATGCTCATGCTATGCTGTCTTCTAGGCATATGCATGGCCTGTTATTTGACTGATTTATGCAAGGAAGTGGCCAGAGCAGGAGTTGTTTCAGCAGAGAAGAATCTTAAACATAAGATCCTTTTAAGGTCTTCAGGACATACACTCCAAACAGAAACCAACTTTTTCTTTAGTGCTAGCATTATGCTTGGAAATTTTGACAGTGAATGAAGAGGTGATTTTGCACAAACTTCTTTCTAGTCACAAGTTTTAAACCAAATTGTGTTCATTTGCCTCATTCTGTGCCTGTATTGTCTCTTTTCTAGGTCCCTCTGTACAGTAGTGTGCAAGTGGACGTATACCTCAGATAAAGGTTGGGATGACAGTTTCTGGAAAATGATTGGTTTGGAAGATTTGGTAGAGGATAAGTATGAAAAAATAGGTATGTTTTGTACCTATACCTAAAAAGTTATATACATATATATAAAGATATATATATTAAAAGATACATACACATAAAAAGATCTTTTTCTGTGTTATTGTGAATGTCAGGAGGAATGTAGCAGGACTTGATGAAGCTTCAGAGGGGTTGATAACAAGGTTGGATACCATAGGTGACAGCTTTCCTAAGTGCACTTTATACTTTGCATTGTCATGAAAATCTCTGTTTCAGTTTTCTAACTTCTACCCTTCTGAAAGGCCTAGCAAGCCTTTCAGTACTGCTCAGTCTCAACAGCAGAGAAGTAAATGGGAGCCTCAGCAACTGATTCCATGAAGGAAATACTTGATATGGGTGTAGGGAATGGCAGGCTCCAAAAAAAACCCCACAATGTAGTAATTTATAGCTGTTACTGACAGCAGGTTTTGCAACCTGTACCCATCTCCCTTACAGTAGTTTCAAGAGAAGTGCTACTTGTGCTTGTTATCTTCATACCCTTTTTTTCCACTCTCTTGGAGCCTAAGTTTAATTAGAATGGTAGCCTTGCTAATAGTAATTCCTACAGCAGATATTCATTAAAAGTCCATAATGTTAATATACCAGAAAATTTCCAGGATAACTTTATTAGACTTTCCCTGTTAAGTTAATGGACTTTTAATGGATGTCCTAAGCAGACATGTCATTAACAAGAATATTACCAGACATGAACTGAAATCTGCTCATTCATCAAAGTTAATTATCTAAAATTTCCTTTGAGTTTTTTTAATGTCTAGCACTTTGAACAAGTTTGTACAGCAGTTTAAATGCAGTAACATGAAATGGAAATGGCAGAGGGAGGACTGTAGTGAAATGAAATGCAATGAAATCTATTACCTTTTCTGATCATCACAAAATATACCGTAAGTCATTTTCAGATTATCAGAAAATTGTACTTGAAAATTTCCTTGAATAGATTTCAGCTTTTCCCCTGCAACTGAAACTGCTTATGCAAAGGTATTAAACCCACAAGGAATAGGAGGCTTTTAGCTTCCTGAGGTTTTAGTTGGAATACAGTTCTTACAGCATCTATCACATGTGGCTTTCAGCAAATCTTCAAGTTAAAATAAGACTTGCAATAAATACATGTTTTTACCAGAAAAATTGAACATCTCAGCAACTGGTGATCCAATGGAAGAGTATTTTAAAAATGAATTATTTATGAAGTGTAAGCTAAGGCTTTAATATAATATTTATGCAATGCACTTCAAGGACAGTGCAAAGCAATTTGCCATTTCAAGTAACTAAACATGCATGTTTGAAATGATAAAGTAGCCATTAATAAAAAGGGCCTTTTGTTGTGATGGAAGCCTCATAAAACTAATCTATATATGGTTCAACATTTAGCAAGACAAAACATCATTCATTTCCAATATCAGGCTTACATTTTTGTTACAGCACAAGGTTTACAAAATAAATCAGTAAATTAACTTCTGATGATAGGTTGGATATAAAGAAGTTTGTTACTGCGAGGGTGGTGAGACACTGGCACAGATTGCCCAAAGAAGTGGTAAATGCTCCATCCCTGGCAGTGTTCGAGGCCAGGCTGGAGAGAGCCTTGGGTAACATGGTCTAGAGTGAGGCATCCCTGCCCATGGCAGGGGGTTGGAACTGGATCATCTTAAGGTCCTTTCCAACCCAAACCATTCTATGATTCTCTGATAGGGGTTTCTTGCAAGACAAAACTTTTCCTGAATTAATGGGGAAAGTGTCCCGTTCCCTGGGCAATTGTGTTAGTTTTCAAGAAACAAACCATAGAATATCTGGGTGCATCTCAGCTGGTGTTGAAGAAGCAGAATCTGACCTCTGTAATTGCACCAAGCTGTGGGCTGCCACTTGGAGCTTCTGAAAAGCACAAACTTTTCTTCACCTTGGGAAATCCTTTGATTTTCAGATTCTTGGGCTGATTACCTTAGGTGTATCCAAAGTATAAGACACTGAAACCTGGCCTTTGTAGAATATATGCTTATTTTCATGCCCATTTGTCTGACCTTGCCTTTTTTAAAAAGGAAGGCATTACATTCATTATATTTAGCTGAGTGATAAAATCATAAAAAAGCAGGACAGTGACCTTCATTCATGTGTGCTTGAAGAGTGGGGTAAGGAGCTCCTCTATGAACGTGGAAACCAGATAGCAACTACTCCTTCATTCCTTTATCTTCCACACTGCACCTGTTGGAGTCTCTTGGAAGGGTTTAGCTTCAGAAGGAGACAAGACATGACCAAATCAAAGCAACTCTCTCTCCACCCAAGAGCTGCTCAACAGTGCTGAAGTCTGTGTTGAGAGCTGTGTTAGTGCTTCGCATTCTGCCACCCTTAATCTTATCAGTGTCCCTTACATGGGAAAATGGGAATGGTGACATTGTTCCAGTGAAAGTTTGGGAGGTTTGCTTGTTTTAATGAGTAGTGTTGCTGGACTTGGGAAGAGCACCCTGAATAAGCTTGGCTTTCATTTAATGACTTTAAATTGACCAGGACAGCGTGGATCCACCTACTGAGAAAGTGCCATTCCATGCTCAAGCAGCACTGGTCAAACTGTAGTCTTGTATAGTGGGAGGCTGTTTCCTACCAACTCCCAGGGCGTTGGCATTAGTGTTGAGGCACCATCACTGCATAAACCTACTGCCAGGAGCCCACAAGTGCTATGCTGAGCACAAACAACACAGGATCACACCTTGCAAAACTCAGCTCAAGTTGTATTATAATATTGCTTCAGGGCACTGTCCCATAAGTGAACAGCCTCAGCTGCTGTTAACTTCAGCACATTATACAAAAGAAAAGCAATTTGTTTAAGTAACTCATCTGGACAAACAGTTACCAGTGTGCTTCCAGGAGGCACATCATAGCGTGCTACAGCTGCCAGAAAAGAATTTGAAGCAGTAGATTTAGCAGGCTTGCAGATTAAGGAACTCGAACCTGCCAGATAACCTAGGTAGGAGTAGGTTGAAGGGAGATTGTGCATGGTCAAAAACTCCTCCTAAAATGAAAACAAAACCAAAAACTAAGAAGTCTGAAGTAATTCTAGTGGAATTTCCTTTTCAGTTCTCAAGCTTGTCCAAGTCAGTGCATGTCTGCTTAAGGTTTGTTTAGCTCAAATACAAGGATGTATTTTAATGCCTGCATGACCCCCTTACAAAGAGAGATAATGGTATTTTTCTCACATATCTCTCCTAAAAGATTAGCAGGCTCTGAATCATCATTTCTTTCTAAACAAAGCAAAATATCCCAAGATAAAATTGGCAACATTTTCTTACTGTAGCAAAAGTAAATATATGGTTGACCAGTTTAAAATAGGCAGAAAAGTTACATGGTTTTGCTTTTGTTTTATTGGATCTCTTTAAAAAAGTAATTTCCAGTCAGAAATAACGACAGATGAATAGTTATGACTAGATAGTTTTTTATAAGTAGCTTTACCTTTCATGACATTGGAAATATTTATGGAGATTACTTAAGAACAACTTTTCTAATGTGCATAATTCTTTATTCTGATAAACATCTCTTTTAAACATCACTTTTAAAATGGCTTGCCCTTTAAAGGATATATTTACTGTAATCACAGTGGTGCTCGTGGTTCCAGGTAGTGCGCTTCTCCTGGTTTCAGTTTAACTTAACACATGACCTTGTTGATAAGGGGGACCCTCACATCTGACCTTTAGGATCTTCCACAGACTTTTCCCACATCAAGATGTGGGTTCACATATGAGAGTTCCCAGGCCTTTGACATTTTACATTTTTCAGAGCAGATTAACCTTTCAGGGAATCCATGCCATAAGTTGTTTGTGGTCCTTTCTGTACCTCATGGATTTCAGGCTCGTCTGTGAAGGTAAAGAGTCTTATCTGGAGATACTACAAAATTTATTGATACCATTAATTTGCCCACCAAGAGAGTAGAAGATGTCTTGTATTCAAAACCACTCTGAAAGTGTTGTGTACTACAGGCATTAGCATTTATCTGCTGTGGTGATAGTGCATGATGAGCATCTCTTTGTGGTATTATAAAACCTAGAAAGACATTAACAATCCCTTTAAAATTTCATGTACTCCAGACCTTTTAGGGTACTGAAGCATATATTCCATTTGGAGGAAAATGCCTGATAAATTTTCACCACAGCTCTCTACTTCAGGGGCTACTTTAGGGACCAAGTAATGATTTTTTATTGAATGGTAGTATTTCATACCAGGTCTGGTTTTGGTTGAAGATGGGCCTTTGTCTGAGAGAGCATTGCAGGTACTGCAGAATAGGTCTTACTGATCTTGTGGGTTGTGTGTTGAAGGCTAAAATATATCTTTTGTGAAGGGCAGTTCTGTTGCTTTTTTTCAGCTGTGATGGAGCAGTGCACAGAAATGAATAAATACACAGCTCATATTTATGGAATCTTGATGAACAGCTGAGGCTAAACTAAGAAAAGTGTTTGGATTGTTTAAATCTCAGAAATTTTATGGAAAATCAGTGCTTGCCTTGAACTTGGAGTACTTGAAAATAACTCTTGCATGGACAGATTGTGATTTCAGCAGACAGGATAGTTCTTGTCTATAACTCTTAATTCCAGAACTTTGGGGACTGGAAGCTGCTTGTTTCAATGTACCTGGGCACTTGTGTATGCTGTTTTGAATGCGCTGAAAAGAAGGCTCAGTAGAATTGTAAAACTAGATGTTCTTTTCTAATGCTCTTGCATTCTTAGTACTTATTCATAAATCGGTAGCAAAGAAAACTGTAGTTGATTTGGGACTTGATAGCTGTGACTCTTGACTGGTACCTGCTGTCGTCCTTACTGTGCACGACCTTTACAGCAGGCTGGGTTTTCAAATATAGGTGCAGCTCTGTGATCCTTTAGGCATTCAAAAAATGACAAAACAGCAGGCTATTAATTTATCAAGATGTTATTATGTGTAAATGAATGGTTATATTCCTACATGTGCCACTGTCTACTTTTATACATGTCGTGGTTTAAACCCAGTCAGGTAAC